CTCCAATATTTAGCAAATTAATTGCAAATTATTGCAAATCGGTTTTTAGAATTTGCAAATCAAAATTGTATTTTTCGTGCTTTACTTTTGCAAATAATTTTTTTTTCCATAATTGTCTTTTATATTCCATCATATTTTTTTTTATTCTACTTAGTTTTTAATACACATAGATTAAAATAGAAATATAGAATAAGATTTTTTATCAAGTATAGATTTTTTTATAAATATTAATTTATTATTTTATGAAATACTAGCTGATCCCGTGCACTTCTTTGCCCATTAAAAATACCAACGCTATAAAACTAATAATATGTTTTTTTTGTATAATATAACGGTGACCATAACAACAATTTGAAACCAATTATTATTATTATTATAGCTTTGAAACCCACGGCAACCATATACCATATATAAACAAAAATTTCCATCGGAAATCTCAAAATCCCTGTTTGAGCACGTCCCGGTGTTGGTCCTCTCCCTTTTAAATTAGCCTATCTTCTGCCCAGAGGTCTAATCTATCTATATATATAAAAATATTTGATCCCTTGCACTACGTTGCCCATTAAAATTGACAGCTCTATATGAATAATATGTTATACATATCACCATGGCAACCATTTATATACAAATCGGTTTTTAGAATTTGCAAATTAAAATAGCCCCAACAATTCATCCGTTCGACTCCAAACCGGTGTCAATATTTTGCAAACTAAGTACTAAGTACTAAGTTTTTAAAAATATTTGCAACTATTTGCAGCCCCAAAAAATAAATTTTAACTAATTTAACTACATTTTTACTGTTTTTATAATATTTTTTATATTACATTATCATGTTTAAATGTTGACAACTTTTAATATTTTTTCAACAAAAAATAACAATTATTAATTATAATTCAAAATGTATTATTCTTATGCATAAGTCCATAGCGTCAGAACTTAGTTAGGCCTTCGGGCCAACGGCTCAACGCGACAACGCCATACGAAAAAAAACTAAAATTACAGGTAGGTCGGAATATTATAAATTATAATACTTAAGTACCACATAACGTATTATGTAATGTTCGACCGAATGTCTCTACAAAAATTCGTTATTCATAAAATATTTATCAGTTATACCTATAATAATATGTTAAATAATATAAATTATTGATTTAAAATATATCATATTCTGATATTCATTACAGCGACTCAATAACGAGATATACCTACATACGATACTCACTATGCTTCAGAGCAATTTCCACGGTTCTTAAATTGTCATTTTAGAAGTAATGACAGTGTTTCAATAACCAGTTTAAAAAGCCATGTGTTTTTTTACAATATAAATTAATAAAACTATTAAACAAAATTATTATTTAAGATAGTGACTATATGGTAATTATATTTTGACGAATTTTTTTACAATTTTGGTCAGCCCCCCACTTTGTCCGATCCGTTCCAAACAAACCGTAAATAATTGCAAATTGGTTTTTAGAATTTCCGTATAACGGCATACGAATATAAAACCTCTTAGACGTTTTTCGATATTTCGACATTTTTTCCCAGACCCAAAAGCCAAGGGGGTCCGTGAAAAGTGGTCGGAAAATCAAAAAATCAAAATTCCGACTACAGGATATTTTTCTATAACGGTACACTAACAAAAAACCTCTTAGACGTTTTTCGATATTTCGACATTTTTTTCCCAGACCCAAAAGCCAAAGGGGTCAGTAAAAAGAGGTCTGAAAATCAAAAAATCAAAATTCCGACTACAGGATATATGACTACAGACATTATTTCCCAGACCCAAAATCCAAAGGGGTCCGTAAAAAGTGGTCGGAAATTTGAAAAATCAAAAATCCGAGTACATGGTATTTTTCTATAAAAGCATACGAATATAAAACCTCTTAGACGTTTTTCGATATTTCAACATTTTTTCCCAGACCCAAAAGCCAAGGGGGTCAGTAAAAAGAGGTCGGAAATTCGAAAAATCAAAAACTGACTACATGGTATTTTTTTATAACACCATACGAATATAAAACCTCTTAGACGTTTTTCGATATTTCGACATTTTTGCCAGACCCAAAAGCCAAGGGGGTCAGTAAAAAGAGGTCGGAAATTCGAAAAATCAAAAATCTGACTACATGGTATTTTTATATAACGGCATACGAATATAAAACCTCTTAGACGTTTTTCGATATTTCGACATTTTTTCCCAGACCCAAAAGCCAAGAGGGTCAGTAAAAAGAGGTCTGAAAATCAAAAAATCAAAATTCCGACTACAGGATATTTGACTACAGACATTTTTTCCCAGACCCAAAAGCCAAAGGGGTCCGTAAAAAGTGGTCGGAAATTTGAAAAATCAAAAATCCGAGTATAAAGCCAAGGGGGTCCGTGAAAAGCGGTCGGAAAACGAAAAATGAAAAATGCGACTACATGTTATTTTTCTATAACTTTACACTAACAAAAAACCTCTTAGACGTTTTTCGATATTTCGACATTTTTGCCAGACCCAAAAGCCAAGGGGGTCAGTAAAAAGAGGTCGGATATTCGAAAAATCAAAAATCTGACTACATGGTATTTTTCTATAACAGCATACGAATATAAAACCTTTTACACATTTTTCGATATTTCGACATTTTTTCCCAGACCCAAATGCTCAAAATTTAAAAAAAAATGAACCTTGCTCATGTAAAGTAATTTGTATTGTGTGCAAATGTTGTGTTCACTTATTTTCATGCACATGTTATGACTACAGTATTAAAAACAATATGTGTAAACATATACACGCTGTTCGAATGGATTCAATGGTAACTGATGATGATGTAAGTATGGACGTAATATGTAATCCCATAGAAAATGATGAAGTATGTATGAAAATGCCTGCTGAACAAGAGCTTACTATACCATCCACTGTCCATTGCTAATAAAATTCAGCAACTGTACAGTATGTTTGTGTCACAAGCAGGTTCACTCGATGATCAGCAACTAAAAAAAATAAATACAACTGTAGATTCAAGTATACAAGTACTATATCAACAAGAAAGCAACTTAATAAAAAATGTAGAGAATCGAGAACCATCCAACAAAAATGTAGACAAACAGCTACGGTTTATTCAACGAAAAAAAACAAGGACGAAAGCACCGGAGGAACAATGACTAAATAAGCCAACCTTAAAAATTACTAACCAAATAAAAAGTGATCTAAAAGGCAACGAAGATACTCCATACATAAATATTGACCCCCCATTTTGAACATTCATATGGACAAATCAATCAGAAGAAGAAATGAATTATATTATTATTAACAGTCGTTAATATATTACTAACAGTCGTAATTCAGACGTCGTAGCGTACGGTTCTCTCAGTACTTTATCTTTTCAACTAACGATATAATTAATTTTTGTTATCATAATTTATTTTAGTGTTAACTTTATTGAACTTTTACGGAATAAGTACTTTTTGTTATCATAACATTTGATTATCTTTTCACAATGTCCACTTCAACCAATGAAACGCTTGATACCAAGGAGACTCTCAAACAAATTTTGGATATGGTGAATGAACTTAAATCTACTCAAAACAAAATCATTACTTCTATTAATTCATGCCGGGAATCTAACAAAACCCAGGAAAAAAAGTATGTTATTATTGAGTCTAAAATAGATACCCTATCAAATCAACTAGCTGAAGTTATTTCTGAAAATAAAACCTTAAAAGCTAAAATTGAGCAGATAGAAGGCAAAATAACAACTTTAGAAACTACGGCTTCCCCTGGAGCTAACGTTGAATCAGTTTACTCTGAACTTATGGACCGCCAATCTCGAGCTCGTAATATAATATTTTTTAATATACAAGAATTTAATTCTTTACCTGATCAGTTAACTGACACTCTTACTGTTGATGAAATACTCAAAAGCATTGATTTAAAAATTAATCCAGTGTCTGTCCGTCGCTTGGGCAAACAATCAAATAAACCACGTCCTCTGCTTACTACTTTACCAAATTCATCTGATGTCTTTGAAGTCTTAAAAGTAAAACGTAAATTACTTAGTACTGCTAACTTCAAGGATATTCGCATTGCATCGGATCGGACAACTCAACAACGGCAATTTTTCACTAAAATTGTATCTCAACTTAAACAACGTAATGATAACGGCGAAAATAATTTATTTATCAGATACATCAACAATGTTCCTACTATCTCAAAAAACTTATAACATCAACTACTTCAAAAAATCTTTCTGTTTATTATCAAAATGTCCGCGGTCTAAATACCAAATTAGATGTATTTATACGTAACCTAGCACTTCTTAATTATGATTTAATTGTATTAACTGAAACCTGGTTATCTCGTTATGTTAATGACTCTGAACTTGGACTTTGTCCTCATTACTCCGTTTTCCGATGTGATCGGTACGGAATTCATGGTCCCGACATTCGAGGAGGTGGTGTCTTAATTACTATCAAAGTCCAATATCCATGTCATCGCTTAATTATACAACAAGATTTAGTGGAGCAACTATTTGTAAAAATACATATAAATCACATTTCTCTAATTGTCGGTTCCGTGTACTTCCCGCCGCGCTCTGATTTAAATGTATATAATAGCCATGTTAATGTTATCGATAACCCTCATGAGTAAAATATTATAATGATACATTTTTGTTGTTAGGTGATTACAATTCGACTAATGTTAATTGGGTCTCTAATAACCGCAAAATTATTCCCAGATTGTCAAATAATAATTTGTATGAATCAAATATCATATCTGCCTTATCTTATGTTAATTTAATGCAAAACAATTTAATACATAATTCTTCTAGGTCATTACTAGATCTAGTTTTCTCAAATATTGTCAATGTTAATGTTTCCCCCGAAACTTCTCCTCTGGTCCCTCTAGACTATAAATTTCATCCTGCATTAAAAATTACACTTCCACTTTCATCCACAAAAAACAATTTATATTATAATGAAAGTGTTCATGATTTTATCAATTGTGATTAAATGTCAGTAGGTCTTGTATGGCCTCAACTGATTGGAGTTGTACATTTAAAGATTTACATATTAATGAAGCACTTGATATATTCTACTCCAAATTACACGATATAATTAATGTACAATGTCAAAAAAAAACGTATGTTCTCCACAAAGTAGCCTTTATGGGTTTTCCCAAAACTCTAAAACATTTAATTTTCTCAAAAAAAATTGCCCAATTAAAATATATAAAACAATCTCCAACTAATGTAAATTATAATATATTCTCTAATCTACGTGCTCAATGTAAAGTTGTTAATAAGACCGATTATGGAAATTTTATACAGAGAACTCAAAGTTCAATAGCCTCTAATCCTAAAAGGTTCTGGAATTATATTAATAGCAAACGATCAAATTCTAATATTCCATCTGTTCATCTCATATAATAATCAAGTGTTACTGGTGGTGACAAAATCGCGGAAAGTTTTCGCCAATTATTATTCTACTATTTACCACAATTAAATTATGCAAAAACCACCCGATGACATTAAATCGATGAAAGTCGATTTGAACACAGCGTCATTACTTTTAAGCGATATTTATGATGAGTTAAGCAGCTTAAAATCCACTACCTGTCCTGGTCCTGATAGTATTCCGTATACTTTCTTTACTAACTGTAAATGTGTTCTGTCTATCCCTTTATTATACTTATTTAATACATCACTTAAATTCGGTGTTTTTCAGGATAAATGGAAAATTTCTTATATTAAACCGATTCCTAAAGGGGGAGATCTTACTTTAGTCACTAATTATCGCCCAATTTCTATAATTTCGATTATCCCTAAATTGTTTGAAATTATTGTACACAAAAAAATCTTTCCGTTATTTAAAAATATTATCTCTGATGTTCAACATGGCTTCATGCCGGGTAAATCAACCACCACGAACTTACTAGTACTCCAAAATTACATCCTACAAGCTTTCAGAACTGGACTCCAAGTTGACGTTATTTATACTGATTTCTCCAAGGCGTTTGATAAAGTAGATCATTGTGCTCTTAGATCTAAATTATTTAATCTAGGTATACGTAATCCTTTTCACTCGTGGTTAGTTTCATTCATAACTGGAAGGCAGCAATATGTAAAATACATGAGTTTTAATTCTTCATTATTTAAAATTAACACTGGTGTTCCTCAGGGATCACATATAGCTCCACTTCTATTTAATTTATTTATCAATGACATCGAATTTTTAAACTCTAATAAGTTACTATATGCAGATGATATGAAAATTTACCGTATAATTACATCACCAGCTGATAATTTGCTGCTCCAGGATGACTTAACTCGTCTTAGCACCTGGTGCACTAAAAAAATTTATCCTTAACATAAACAAATGTAAGATCATAACCTTCTCTAAAAACCGTACACCTACTCTATATAATTACTACATAAACAACATTAAATTAGATCGAGTCTATCTATACAAGGACCTGGGAATTTATTTTGACCCATCTCTTTCATTTATGATCATATGTATATCCAAAATAAAGCCTCTTCGATGTTAGGTTTCATAAACCGCAGCTGTAAAGACTTCGTCAATCTTTAGCGTTAATCACTCTACTGTTCCTTCGTCAGGTCATTACTCGATTATGGATCTATAGTATGGTCCCCACAATCAATCGGTGCTACAAAAAGCATTGAATCAATTCAAAACCGTTTTCTACGTATCATTCAATTCAGATGTTGTATCGAACGTGCACCTCACTCATCATATCAACCATTATTGTCGTATTTAAAGCTAGAAACCCTTGTCAACAGAAGGAAAAGACTTGATCTATGTTTTATTTTTAAATTAACGAATGGGTATATTAACTGTCCTGAACTACTTTCTTTATTGAATTTTAATATTCCAAATCGTAGAACTAGGCATTAAATACTTTTATGTACAACTCCAGCGTTCAAACTATGGTCAAAATGCTCCTATGAATAGATCTATGCAACTTGTTATTATTTAATGTTGATCTATTTTCCTGCGTTTCCTTAAATGATTTTATTTTACATAAATATGTCTTGCTGTATAAATGTTATAATCTATGTCAATATCTCATTAAGTCGATTTTCCAATTTAAACAACTTTACTCTGTATTCTTAACCATTTTTGTTTCAGTGAATTATTTCCACCATAAGTGTCTCATCACATACATTACTTAAACCTGTCTATTACGAAATGCACACTATCTGTATAGCTGTCATATTAAAATATTTAAGATTAGTGTTCATGTGATAACAAATATTATTATTATTATTATTAGATATTTTATAATAATAGACGTATGTCTATAATAAATGTAACTGGGTTCGCCCTTTTAAATTATACAAATAAATAAATAAATAAATAAATTATTATTGTATTTTGGTGTATTTTAGAAATGTGTATTTATATTTTTAATTTTTTTATATTTCTATAGGTATAATATTATTTTTTTAACCAACAAGTTCATTGGACATTTGGATTTTTTCTAATGCATTATTTTTTAAAGGTATTAATTCCCTGTATGTTACTTGTGAATTATATCATTACTTGTTAGTTTGTTTTGATTGTTTTGTCCATATTAGTTTTTGACCCTATATGTTGGACTTCACCAAATGGATTACAGGAATTGAGGAAATCAAATATTCTATCCATCAGCCTTATACATTTCCGGTTGCTTCACCTATAACAATATAGTAAATCTGAATTAAATAACAATTTATAAATAGTATTTGAGTTTGTTTGAAAATATTAATAATTTTTACCTTCCAATCTATGCCAGGAGTAATAAAATATTCTACCAACTCATCATAAGATCCATGAAGTTTACATCCAAGATGATCCAAAAAATGTATGGACTGTTCAGATGTAGACCTCTTTTGGCAACCATAGGCAACACGAACTTACCATATTATGCGACAAAATCACAGGGTAGTATAAATGAAAGGATTAAAAAATTGTAAAATTGAAACTTTTACGGATAAACGAAAACAATTTGTCACGAGTTATTCACATTTAATATTACATAACATAATATTCGGGTTATTACTCATGGCAGTATGGCGCTAATAATATTTAAATGTAATCAACCGATTAAGTGATAAGGTATATCTGTTGCCCTGATAGTGTGATACTGATAACAATAGTGCTGATAAGATGCGCTGTCTCTAGACGCTCGTAAAGCCAAGGGGGTCCGTAAAAAGTGGTCGGAAATTCGAAAAATCAAAAATCCGACTACATGGTATTTTTCTATAACAGCATACGAATATAAAACCTCTTAGACGTTTTTCGATATTTCAACATTTTTTCCCAGACCCAAAAGCCAAGGGGGTCCGTGAAAAGTGGTCTGAAAATCAAAAAATCAAAATTCCGACTACAGGATATTTGACTACAGACATTTTTTCCCAGACCCAAAAGCCAAAGGGGTCCGTAAAAAGTGGTCGGAAATTTGAAAAATCAAAAATCCGAGTACATGGTATTTTTCTATAAAAGCATACGAATATAAAACCTCTTAGACGTTTTTCGATATTTCAACATTTTTTCCCAGACGAAAAGCCAAGGGGGTCCGTGAAAAATGGTCGGAAAATCAAAAAATCAAAATTCCGACTACAGGATATTTTTCTATAACGGTACACTAACAAAAAACCTCTTAGACGTTTTTCGATATTTCGACATACCGATATTAGTATCTTGTCTTGTTCCAGATAAGACAATCACACGGAACCTCAAGATTATTTTAATCCACAACTCGTAACCTATAAACACCGTACAAAATACATAACAAAATACCAACACGAGAATTTATTCCTAGACCGGTATTATACCTAATGATGTTAGAATACTCGTTGAGGCACAACGATCACGTAAACCAGTACATAATAAACAGGGAAGGACCTACGTGTCTAAAAAACCATATGAGAATAGCCAATGAACATTTACCCGTACCATATACTACAGCTGAGATGAATAGAATTATGGGAATAATCAATATGACTCTCCGTTTAATAATTTTAGTACTTGAAATACACGCACCCACATGTCTCCATTTGGCAAATTTAATAACCGAACTAATACAAGCCGCCGAGGCAGCTGAATGAAATTAATATAAAGGAATAAATTATTAATATGTAAAGTAGAACTAATATCTCATAATGTAAAATTATTATCAGAATAAAATTATCTCACAATACAATTAATTATATATTTTTTACGGTGACAACATCAAATTCATAATAGTGGATTTCGAGTTCACTAATATAAATAAGAAAGATTTATTACTTGTATCTGGGTCACTATCAAACAGTCTCGATAAATATAGGCCAGTAAAACTCGAGGGCAAACCAATCGTGTTGACTACCACCAATAAATTAAAGATGTTACAGCATCGCGAAGTCAAGCAAGTAATGCATAGTATTGGTAGAATATTTAGAAACAAGCCAGAGTCGTTAATACCATTATTGAGGCAGTTAGAATCAAGTCTAAAGCTCGAGGGGGTGACAACTCTCTCCACCATATATCTTAACCAATACTTGCATACTGACGGAAGAACACCAATCATTGTTTTTTGGAACGGTACAACCGATAAAAATATGTATAATAAACAGCTTACAATCAAATATCGCACTATCAGAACATTAGTGTAGTAACTCAAAAATTGACGATTTTAAGTTATACATCTTTTCTAATGGTAAAAATGTCGTTCTTTACGATGCACTACCGTATTATCTCGTATCTACAGTTTTAAACAACTTAAATCAGAAAATACGGTAATGCATTTAGGAAAATAATTGGTGGCTATAAATGGAATAGTGTGGTATCTCAAAATAATACACTATTGCTACTCAATATTAACAAATAGTTAGTGCAGTACTGTATTTTTTCGAAATAATACACTACTGCACTGTGAATTGAAATTTTTGTCACTTATCATAATACTATTATTAATTTAATTGGCTATCATTGTTTTTTATAATATTATAATAATAATACTTTAATGATCCATTATGAGATAATATAATCATAATTAGAATAATTAGATTAATATGAAATTGAGTTGAGTGAACATTAATGTACAAATATTTTTAAGTTGATTTATATTTATGAAAATGAATTCACGTGCTAAACGAATGCTAAAATTAGCAACAAAAAAAAATAATCATTACGCTGAAGGTTCAGATACTGCTTATGTCGATGTTGATTTAGATCCAATACCTAAGGTAAGTTAACAGCTACCCATAACTTTAAAATCTCAAATTGTGTTTAAATTAATAGTTTAATAAACTTTTTAATTTAAAGGTTATTTATTATGAAAAATAATTAAGTTATAATATTAAAGTTGATAGGTAGGTACCTACCTATTATGTGCAGTTATATTATTACATAACGTAATATAAACCAAGATACCAATGTATTATTGTTATTAAGATAAAAATTCAAATAAAATATTGTGGTTTGATATTTAATTGTAGTTAAAGATAACATTTATTTGTGTAGGTATACCTATTGGCTATTTGTTTACTGAGAAACGTGTTATATTATATAAATTTAATTTTGAAACTCGCCGGTATTGATCTCATGGTGCATTGGGATGGGGCAAGATGTTTGATGTTCGAGGTTCCTAGTTCGATCCTATCGCAATCATTAATTCATTTTTTGCATTTTTTTTTTATTATTTTTATAGCGAGCTACTTATAGCTGTTATACTTAATAATAACTAAGACACGTCATTTTGTATACATGATTGTATTACATTTAGATATGTTATTTCAGGTTAAAACTTAAAAATGAGCATATTTCATAACACCTTAAATAAAAAAAAATGTATTCATTAGTCTGGCAAAAATAACGTTCAATACCATCATAAATCATAATAGATAACGTCGTAATAAATAGAATAAAATAGGTATATCTAAACAATATTTAATATCGCCATAATATTATATTATTATCTGTTATACGTCTAATTCACTACCGACTAGTTGCTCGTTCATTCAATATTATTTCTATTAAGTGTATTTTTTAGAACAATCACTTATGTAGGTAAATAGGTACCTACTTTTCGACCTTTCGTCGTTTAATATTTTAATTTGTTTGTTTAATAAAAAAAATTATTCGTATTATAATTACTATTAGTACTTTTTAATATTTTTTTAGAGAACCAACTCAACTTTTCAGAATCTAACAGAAAATAATTCTACTGATTTTGATAATACAAGCTTTAATTTAGTTCAGGACTGGTTAGAAACAAATGATTTCTCCTTGATAGACCCAAACAGTGCAATAGAAAACTATGAAGTAGAATTTAAAAACACAGAGGGGAACATCATTAATAGTTCAATGACAAATCATGAAGTAGACACTAACAATGTAGATCAAAATTCTACTAAATATTCAATTATTAATTTACGTGAATTACTAGAAGGGCCTTTAACTTTTGAGTATAATAATGATACAGATGGATTTTGATGGATAATATTTTTACTACAGTTCCAAGTATAAGTGCACCAATAGAAGTTAATGATAAAAATTTGGCTCTAGAAAATGATCCTGATATTATTAGTAATCAAAGCTTTTGTATTTCTGGTATAAATGAAATTCAAAAAATTCCTATCATCACTAACACTTTTGCTATTCTTGATAACAACCCTGCTGCAATAGCTGTAAACAATGACACCCCACTAAAAAAATCTAAGAAGAGGCGTAGAAATACAAATTTGTGGAAAAGAGAAGTTAAAAAGACAAAACGAAATTTAGGCGAATCTTATAAAACAGTTAAAGGAGTAGAAAAGCCAGCCAGAAAATTACTCGAACCATGTGATCAGAAATGTAGAATAAAATGTAACGACAAAATAAATGAGGAACATAGGGAAAACATTTTTTCAGAATATTGGGCACTTGGAGATATCAATCGGCAACGGGATTTTATTAATTGTCATGTAGAAACTGTAGAACCTAAGTATCAATATAAAAAAATTAATTCTACAAGATCAAATAATTTGCAATACTTCTTTAATGTCGTAGGAAAAAGTACTTCAAAAATTCGAGTTTGCAAAAAATTTTTTAAAGCAACGTTAAATATTAATGACACTAATATAACCACTGCTAGAAGAAAAATAAACGAGTCAGGAAGTACAGAGAAGGATAAATGGGGAAAACACGTTGAAAATAGAAAAGCAGTCAGCGAAGAAGAAAAAATAGTTGTGAGAAATCATATAAACTCATATCCTAGAATTGAATCGCACTATTTAAGAAGTCAAACCAAAAGAGAATTTATTGATGGAAGTTTGACATTATCAGAAATGTACAGAATGTACTTAGAATTGTGTGGAAATGAAAATATTAAACCTGTAAAAAAACATTTATATGAGTATATTTTTAATTACGAGTTTAATATAGGTTTTTTTTCTCCGAAAAAGGACCAATGTTGTATTTGCGAAGAATATAAAAATACCATAACAAAATCTGAAGAGTTAGAAAAAAAATTTGATAAACACATTAAAAATAAAGAAGATGCCAGAAATGAAATTGTTAATGACACACATTTTATCAAAACAAACAATAACCATGGTCTTTATTTTTATGATTTACAAGCTGTGTTGCCTACACCCTCTGGCGATGTATCTAGTTTTTATTATAAACGTAGATTGGCCACTTATAACTTTACAATATTTAATTCTAATAATAATGAAGGCCACTGTTTTATTTGGAATGGAAGTGTCGGTAATAGAGGAGCAATAGAAATTGGAAGTTGCATTTTAAAATTTATTGAGAAGTTTGTGCCAAATGAAAAAACTGAGTTAACATTCTATTCTGATAATTGCAATGGACAAAACAAAAATAGATATATATATTCTGTATACATGTACATTGTAATGTTTTTAAATATTTCGGAAATAACCCACAAGTTCTTAACAACTGGTCACACACAAATGCCCGTTGATTCAATGCACAGCAGAATTGAAAATCAGAAAAAACGTGCTTTAAAAAGCGGACCTGTATACATCCCAGCACAATGGGTGTCAATAATAAAATTAGCAAAAAAAAATGGAAAGCCTTATTCAACAACAGAGATGAACACAAAGGATTTTTTATATCTTACAAGGTTATGTAACGACATGGGTAACAATTATTCTTTTAATGAAGATGGTGATAAAATTTTAATGGGGGATATTGTGGCTATTAATTTCAAAAAAAATAACCCTTTCAAAATTTACTACAAAACAGATTTTTCCCAAAATGAGTATAAGACTATAGACATAAGAAGTCATGGCAAAAGAAATCAGTCTTATCCAGAACAAAATGATATTAAAATAAAATGTGCCTATGATTCTCCTCCAAAACTTTCGTTAGCTAAAAAAGAAGATCTTCTTTCATTATGCCACTCTAACTTGATACCTGAACAGTATCATCACTTTTTCGAAAGTTTATTGACAGACCAACAACAACAACAACACAACGAGTCAATGATAACCCCACAAACGGCTAAGCAACCAGTAAATAGTAAGACTACGAAAAAGAAAACTACAAAGAAGACTGAGAAAAAAACAGATAAGAAGACCAAAAAAGTTTTAGACAAAAAAAAAAAGAAAAATGTGAAGAAAAAATTATTCAATTAATTTAACTTGAAAAGATACTAAAAATATTATGTTTTTATAAACCTAATAGAAATTGTTTTTTTTTTTTTTTTATTTCATCGTCTTTAAGACATTTTTTTATTATATTAATATAGTTCACCTAAGAATCTCATTGTTTTAATTAGTATTATTTTATTTTTATTATTTTTTTTAAAAAAAAGGTTTCACAAAATGTATTTTAATTTTATAAAAGGTTATGTTTTAGTTTTTGTTTGAAAAAAAAAAATAATTTGTATTTTGAAATATTGTCTTAGTTTTTTTAGTTTATGTACATATTTTTTATACTTCTCAGAAAAGTAAGTATTAGGTACCTACCTATATAAAATCCAATATTAAAGTTTTTAATTTCATTAAAAATGGAAATATTTCAAATTAAAAATTTAAGTTACTATTGTAGTGATTGGGTAATTTGTTATGAAATATCTATAACATTACTGTATTAACTCAAAAAAAAGTCAATTTCTATATGATGAAAAATATTTTTTTTTAACTTGATGTTATTAATATATACATAAATGACAATTTGAAAAAAAAATTTGATGATGATACGTGGAATACATAATGTTTTACAGGTGTTTTACAATGCTGTAAAATCAAAAACTCGTTTTTCTCAAAACATGGTTTTTTGAGTTGCAACACTAATGTTCTGATGGTGCGATATAAAGATAATATTGAATATCACTTCCTATAGTGATAACAACGATAGTTATTTTAATTTAAAACTTCTTGATATAACAGGATCCACCGATAAATTAATATATTCAACTAAAATAGGATACCACCCGAAAAACGGAAGAATGCTAAAACTAATGGAAACCCATGATCTAATATGCAAAATAAACCATAATATAACCCATAGTCACGATCCAATAGCGGACGTAACCATCACCAAATGCTTGTTTAACTATATTATAAGGGATATCCCACATAACATTTTCCAATGTTAAAACTTCTATAAACGTTGAAGTTGAGTTGAATTTGAAAGGTTCGATAAACAATATTTAATAATATTAGATTACCTAAAGCTGGTTACACACCTAGCGTTTTCGACGCAGCGTTTCAGACGCGGCGTTCGAACGCCTAAAATTAAACATGCGTCTACATATGGCCATATTCACACCATGGGAAAAACCGCGCGTCCGAACGCGCCCGGACGCATCGAATCGCGCTGGTTTAATTTTGAGCGTTTTGTACGCGGCAATATCTAAAATTAAACATTGTATTTACCATGTTATCATTCACACTGAGCGTTTTCGACGTTGCGTTTTGCAGCGTTTCAGTATATTTATTCCATTCGTCAGTGAATCATTGCGCATATTGAGCATATTTGTCAGTTTCAATTACATTTTTTTTATCAGTAAAAAGACCTAGGTACAATAGGTAAAATGTTTGATACAGAGCTCTTTATAATAGAAGTGAATAAGGAAGAAAGTATTTGGAACTTAAGTAAATTTGTATTATATATTAAAAAAATAATAAAAATATATAAAATGATTCTTCATTCTTGTATGTTTAATATTAATTATTTCATAGAATCAAAAATGTTTCATGACCGTGTAGAGAAACATGTCAGCTGGAGACGAGTAGGAAAAGCCATGTTCAATGATTTTGAAAATCTAACGGAAAAAGAAAAAGAAACAAAAAGTAAGACAATACAATACTACTTAATTTTTAAATTATTTAATTCCATTACAAATACCCAACCGTATATGGTGTGAAAATAAAAAATGGTTATTGGAATAAATCTAACACCATTTAATAATAATAAATAATAAATAATAAATCTCAAACCATTTTTGTTTAAAAATGTATTAGATTACCTATATTATGTTGGTTGTATAGGTTAATTTTAACATGATTATTGTTATTAAGTGCTGTAAAAATATTAACAACATAAAAAATCTGTGCTATAATATTTATTTTTATCATGGTAAATTATGAATTTGAAATCTTACAAATAATTATTATAATGAAACTGAAACTGAGTAATGATATCCAAAATAACAAAAAAAAATTTATATTTATGCCTTGCAAATATGTTGTTTTATATAAAAATAAAAAAAATAATAAAAATATACCTGGTATAAATTAAAATTTATTGGCAAAGGTAATAAAATATTATATTTTTTACCAAATAAAACACATTATATAAATTTAATGGAATAAGACATATTATTCCACAACTTTATTTTGCCAACTTAATGAAAATTCTGGTTTATTTACATATTTCACAAAATATTCTCTAACATTTTTTGCTTCTGATGGAGCATTTCCGACTCCTTTTTTTTCATTAACATCTCCTAACATACAGTTTAACGTGTCTTCGATGTGAATTCCATCTCTACGACGCACAAAATTGTGTAAGACACAAGTCGCTTTGGTGATTGAAATAGCAAAATCCGGTTCAACTAAAATATTTGAATGAAATACTCTCCATTTATTTGATAAGATACCAAACGTACATTCAATATGTTGTCTCGCTCTAGACAAACGATAATTGAAAATACGTCGTTCATCATTTAAATTTCTCCCAGGAAACGGCCTCAATAAATGCTTGCTCAACGCAAAAGCTTCGTCTTCGACTAACACAAACGGCTGAGGAACACCTTGTTCGTCTCCGGGTAATGGTTTTTCACATGGAAAGTTGACACGGCCAGAATATAGTTTTTTACCAAAAGATGATTGTTTGAAAATATTACAATCACTTTCCTTGCCATATGACCCTATATCAATGACGCGAAAACAGTAATTGGAATCACAAATCCCCATAAGAATTATTGAGAAGAAATTCTTATAATTGTAGTAAAGCGTTCCACTTTTTTGAGGGCATTCAATTCTAATAATATGCTTGCCGTCTACAGCACCCACACAATTAGGAAATTGGCTTTTTTCAAAATATCCAGCTGCAATGTCTAGCCATTGTTCCGTGGTAGGAGGTGCCATTTCAATCGGGTGTAATTGTCTCCAAATAATTTCACAAGTCTCGCGAATAATTTTCGAAATTGACGAAACACCCATTAAAAATTCAAAATGTAGAGCTGAAAAATTTGTCCCGGTTGCTAAGTACCTAAATAAAACAACAATGTGTACTATATTATCAATCTTGTTGATTATTCGAATAAATATTTGAGTATTATTTGCATTTGAATACTATATTTTAGACAACGTTATAAAATATGTTTATTCTGAATAAAAATTCAGATTTTGTATTCAAGTACTTTTAACATGAAATTTATATATAATTAATTTTATATAATATATTCATGTTATTTATATTTTATTTATTAATTATATAAAATCATTGTACAAAAGAAATTTAAATTTAAATTTTGAATCCTTTGCTATAAAAATTTAAAGTTGATAATTTAATTAAACTTTAACTACAATAATATTTTAGAATGAATTAATACAAGCAGCTCTTAATATATTGTTACAATGGCAGTTGGAAAATCTTAAAAACACATAGTCACAATTTTATTTAAGTATTTAAAATTTGAATTAAAAAAAAAAATGGGTAAGTGGGTGTCAGTCAGCTGTACAGTAGGTTACATGTGAATCGCTGTAATGGATTGTGTTAAATTTAAATCCAATGATATACCTAATATCATTGTATAAGAAAAACGATTCTGAGCGAAGACGGTCAGTCAGTCTATAATATCTTACTAAGTGTATTTGATGATATTATTGTGAACAAAGTAATTTTATAATTTTAGTATGATGCATTAAGTATTTACTACAGTTGATAAAAATTCATTTTTCCCAAAAAAATTACTTTTGAAAATGTCATTGCGTGTATATAAAATATAAAAATATACTCTAAAAGTTTCATATATCAAATAATATTTTTAAAATACAACAAAATATATAAAATCGTTATTCTTGGTTTTAATATGTAATGTTGTCAAAATTAGAACTTTAAATGCTTATAAAAAAAAATCGTGCCTATGTATTTTTAAAAATTTTCAACTGATATTGTAACAATATATTAGAAAGCTTGTATTAAATGTTCAGACTTTTTGGCTCACCAAATAAAATTTTATTGACAATTAGAAAAAAAAAACTAAAAAAATTGAAAACTGAAAATGTCTGTAAACAGCTCAAAACAAATCCAAATATTATGAATCTTATGATCGATAGGAAATGAGAATATAAACATACAGTGAAATGTTCATGCATCTACAGCTTTTGTTTTTGAATTACAACCAAATAAGAAAATCGCTACATGAGAAATCGAGTGAATATCCAATGTTGTAAAAATTTGAATTTAAAACGCTCATAAAAATTTAATTTGACTTTCTTATAGAATTTTTATTTTTTGATAAAGGTAGACAAACTTATGAGGAATCTTGTATTACATTTTCAAATCTTAGATTTAAAAATAAAATTTTTTATGAATTTCTAACTCAAAGTAATTTGCAAACTTTTGTCATTTTTACGTATTTTGTCAACTTTAAAATGTTTTTCATGTAGCTTTGAAACAATATATTAGGGGCCTTCTATTAAATTTTTAAGAATTTTTACCCAATAAATAAAATTTTATTGATATTTATAGTAAAAAACTAAAAAAAATTGGAAACTGAAAATGTCCGTAAACCGCTCAAAATAAGTCAAATACCATTTTTAAAAACATATTTTTTACGACACAAAAAACACATCATTGTTACACCCAAAAAAAAGATACTAAAATATTACTGAAATAAATGACTGTTTTATAGTTCTAGAACTGCAAAAAAAATGGAAAAATTTGAAAGACAATTTTCGAAGAAAATGTATTTCTAAGTCTGGTATTTCTGCTAAAAGTACCAAATGTTATACTTATGCCAAAGTATTGGAATTTTTGCGTCCAACAATGGAAAACAGAAAGTAATTAATTAGGTCAAAGTAAAAATAGTATTTAGATATTATTAAAATTTTTTTTTTTTTTTGGTAGGACTGAAAGCAATATTTCAAGTGAATCGAGTAACGAAGAATTTAGTGACCAAGATAGTGAAAGAGAAGATGAAATATTGATGGTTGGCTTGAATGAGAGTGAAGTAGCTGTTCAATCTCCTTCAACCAGCAATATGTATGTTAAAAGAAAAGGTAAAAAAATAGAAAACTCCTTTGAATCAAGTGAAAACAATAATTTAACATACACCAATGTCACAGAGTCCCGTGAAACTGAAAGTAACAAACGTCCATACTCACCTACCATCAGTAAAAAATCCAAAACTAAAAGTACCAAAAATGAAACCGCATTTGAAAACAAATTGATTGACTATTTACGTAACAGACCAAGAGAAGAAACTGACCCTGACAAGCTATTTCTATTATCATTGTTGCCACAAATTAAACAACTCTCACAGGACAAAAAAACTCAATTATATATTAATTTTTTAAATAGCATTCAACAAATAAGTCAAATTTCTAATAATCCACAAACAGATTTTCATTCTTCATATTCTCAAGGTTATTCTCCAAGTCCCTCTCAGACACCATTAAATATACTCACTGACTCATCTCCTATTTCACACCACAATATTAATTCTCCTTATCAGTCTCCCATGTTTGCCCCTGTGCCTCAGCATTATATGCAGAATAAGCAAAATGTACAATTTTCTCAGGCTACCCATTCTCCTGTTAATCTACCCCAAAATCAGCCACATACTCAAACACACCACAACAGTCTTTCTAGCTATCACGAACATTCTTAATTAAAATACAAAATATATTTTATATATTGTTGAAATGCAATAATATTATGTTTGAAGTTTCATTTTTTTTTTTTTATATTAATTGTAAAATTTGTAAAATTTTATAATTTTATAATTTTTTTTTTTAATATTTAATATTACCTATATTGTTATAATAATATTATGTACATTAGGTACAATATTAAATTTTAAGGATCACTTTTTTTTTATATTAATATTTTTATTTAATATTGTAAAATACAATATAATTTATAAAAAATAATTTTATAATTTTTTTTTAAATATTTTTTATTAGTTATATTGTTATAATAATATTATGTACATTAGGTACAATATTAAATTTGAAGGATAATTTTTTTTTATATTAATATTTTTATTTAATATTGTAAAATACAATTTTAATTTAATATCATTTAACATTTTGTTGTTTTAATTATACGCGTTGTTTGTAGGTATTGAACTACAACTTATAAGTACAAGTATTTACTACATATATTTTTTACACTAAGCTTATACTTTGATAGTTAATTGCATACTTATTTACCTTAATGTAACGGTCAACCTTTCTTCAGGTGGAATAGATAAACGTAACACAGTATCTTGCTTTTGCAACTGTCTTCCAATCATATTTAACTGAATAATCAATTACAATTTAAATATATAAGCAGAACCCGTTTTAAAATATATAATAATAATTTAGTGCAAGTTCTTTATACTTGTACAATACTTACCAGCTCATCAAATGTTTTAATTGACATACGGAAATATTTAAAAAACTCTTCCGGATATTGCCTCAATGTCATAAAGGTTACTTGAAACTGTCCTTCGCGCGGCCTTTTTAAGTTAAGTGGATGTACCCACCAACGACGTTTATTTTTTTTATCTTTTTTTTGTTTTTTATTCATTTTATACATCGAATACACTAGACAGACAGCTTCTACATCATTTAAATTGTTTAAAGCGTCCATTTTTTAATAAAAATCAAAAAATAATATTCCGTGGTCGTGTGATGGTATTGAACGAAACCCGAGTACTGAACGATTGCAAGTTGCAAGGCATGCAAGGTGAAAAATATTTTTCCCGCTTATTTGAAAACCGCTAATGTACGCTACCGTAGGTGTGTAAGATATGAATTCAGCGTTTTAAACGCTGCGTCGAAAACGCTAGGTGTGTAACCAGCTTAAGTGTTAATAATTAAACGTTTACATTAAAGTAAATTCTTAGTGCTATATAAACACTTGATTTAGATTAGATTATAAATATTAAAAAGTTAATGTGTATTAAATGCTGAATAAACTTACAATGACTAACATTTAAATAGAGTATCATAAATAATGCTTATTAAGCCTAGATTTATAAGCATTAATAATAGGTTGTTAAGTTAATACTATCCAAACATCAAATTAAAATTACATTGTTAATGTATTCGTTAAAGTATTTATTTAATGCTTATTGCTTGGTAAAAGTTCGTCTCCATTAATTCTAGTATAGCTGCTAGCCAGCATGTGCCCTGTTAGCTACTGTGCACTGCAGTATATAGCTGTTTCCCCATATTATTATTTAGAGTACATATATTGGCTATAGCCTATTACTTATTACTTATTCAGTTTAAATATAATACTGATCATTAGTTGTGTATTCACGGGTATCATCCAATTATCCAATGTTATAATCATGAACATTAGATAATAATAATACAAACATATAAGTCCTAACCCGCAAGGACTTAATATGAATATTTAAAATAGTTATTGACATTTTAGGATTTTAAATTAATAATATAAACTACGCAACAATTCATGAAATACGATTATAAATTATGATAATTAAAAAAATGTAAACGTATAACAAAATTAATTTTAATAATGATATGCGTATAGTAATAGGTAGTAACTATATTATATGCGAGCGAAATTATTTAATAATATAAAATAAAAATAGATATGAACATTGAACAGCGGTCGACGAGACGCGCGTCTCATAATAGTGCAACCCACACCTGCTTGTGCACGGAAAAAAAAGACGCCACATATTATTATTATATTTAATTTTATACTATAGTAGAGCTTGTACTATAGTGTAGGCATTCGCATGTTTACTGGAATCACCCTCCAACGACCGGTATCGATCATACTTCGTAGCTATAGCTGCGTACGCGGCTACAGCCTGCAACCATTTCGTTATAATTTATATAGCAGTATATTTCTAAGAATACCTACTATAATCATAATGGCATTGATTAAATATATT